TCAGCACCCCCAGTCTCAGCACCCCCAGACTCAGCACCCCTAGGCTCCGCCCGCGCAGGCTCCGCACGCTCAGGCTCCGCACGCTCAGGCTCAGCACCTCTAGCAGGACGCGAGTCGACAGCTACCTCGGCAGGCTCAACCGGGTCTACCTGAGAGACACCTGAGGGAGCGGCACCCTGAGGGGGAAGGGGGTCTACCACTGCAGCACCTGGCGCGAGGAAGAGAGGCGGGGGAGGGAGCGGGGCAGTGCGGTAGGGGAAGAGGCGGTAGAAGGGCACGGACTCGTCAAAAGTGACGTCCTGAGAGGGGAAGACGCGGTGCGAGGCGGGGTGGTAAAACTGCCAGCCAGACGCATCCGGGACAAAGCCAAGAAAGACACAGGGAGCAGTGCGGGAGGAGAGCTTGTCCGCAGACGTGTCGCGAACAAAAGCTCGGGATCCCCAGACACGGAAGCGTGACGCATCGCCAACCTCCCCCGTCCACAGCAGTGTGGGCGAGGTCTCCGGAGCGGAGACACAGGGCCAGAGGTTGAGCTGATGCGCAGCGTACCGGACCGCAAACGGCCACAGAAAGTGGGGGGCAGCCGCGTGGACTAAGGAGGTACGAGCGACCTCCATGATCAAGCCAATGCGGCGCTCAGCAACCCCATTCTGGTGTGGAGAGGCCGGAAGCGTGAACGACTGGTGAATGCCGTGCTCTGCACAGTAGGCTGCCAAGAGGTCGGAGGAGAACTCGCCACCTCTGTCAGAGTGCAAGCGCAGGACAGGAAACTCCGAGCGAAAACGCTCTCGCAGCTGAAGACGTGCTCTGCTGATCCAAGGGATCAGAACATCAGGGACTTCACCCTTGGTGCGCAAGGGGAAGACCGTGGTGTAGCGCGAGTAGTCGTCAACGACGATCAAGAAGTACCTCTCCTGGCCCTGACCACGGACGCGGGCTGGGCCCCACACGTCCATGTGGAGCGTCTGCAAAGGAGCAGTCGTCGGGGGGAACGAGGAGGAGTGAGGGGCAGCGCGATCCCGCCCCTCGACACAGGGAAGACAAGGAGGAGCAAGGGAGGGTGGGAGGGGAGGGAGTACCCGAGGAAGACCAGAGACAAGATACCGGGAGTGCATGCCCCGAAGGCGCTGCACTGACGGGTGACCAAGTCGGTGGTGCCAGAGGACAGTCTTGTGCGCTAGAGAGCGACACGAGCAGGGGGCAGACAGCTGACCTGACGCAGACGCAGACGCAGACGCCGCTACCTGAGGGGACTCAGTGGTCAGTGTGTACAGGTCCGACCCCGGCTGCCGAGTGAAGGTAGCCAGGTGACGGCCCGTCCGAGCACACGTGCAGTGTGTCACACGCTCGTAGGCAGGGGTGAACTGGTGAACACCCCCATCCTGAAGCGCACAACCCGCCACCAAGTTCGTAGAGAACGAGGGGAGGTGGAGACCTGACAGTGTGCCCGACGGGACAGCAGGACAAGGAAGGACAGTGGAGGAGGTCGCAATGACCGGACCCCCAGAGGGGTCAGCGAGCGAGATAGCGACTGGTCGAGCAAGGGGCTCAAGAGCAGTGCGGTCACGAAAGAAACAGCGCGAAGCGCCTGAGTCTAGAGTGAAGGTGTGCAGTGCCTCAGTGGACTCAGTAGTACCTGGGGTGGCGGACACACAAGCACCTAGAGCAGTAGCCTCACGAGCACCTGGGGCAGCAGACACGCAAGCACCTAGGGCTGCAGCCTCACTCGTGCGGATGCCTGGGTCAGGCGGAACACACAGGTACTGGTCCTCCTCTCCACTAATAGTCAATGCATACATGGCTTTGAGAATAACATCAAAATCAAGAGCATAGATATCGATATCCTTCTTGAGGAGATCAGCCCACTTAGGGAGCTCAGGAGCGTCAGGAAACTGAGCACGCCACGCGTCATCTAGGCGAGAGAAGCAGCGCTGCGCAGTGTGCGCCCTCCCGCACGTCTGTCCCTTGCGGCGACCAGTGCGGATGACGTACGTGCAGCTAAGGCTACCCCCCCCACCCCCGTGCTGTAAGTACCACTCACGAAGCTCCTGGGAGGACTGAGGGTGCTGCGCGCTCTGGCCAGTGCCAGAGCCTCCACGACCACCACCGCCGCCTCCACCACGACCACCACCGCCTCTGCCGCCTCCACGTCCACTGCCGCCACCACCACCGCCCCCACCCCGGCCACCTCCGCCGCCGCTGCCTCCACCACCCCCACCGCTGCCACTAGCCCCTCCAGCCCCGCCACCACCCCCACCGCCGCCACCACCCCCACCACCGCCTCCCCCGCCGTCACCCCCACCGCCCTTGCCTCCCCTGCCCTTGCCGCTGCGGCGTCCGCTGGGAGCGGACGCAGAGCCGACCTGCTCAGCACCAAGGAGGTCGACAGCAGCAGCAGAGGCGACAGAGGGGAGTAGGGGGGAGGGGGAACACCCCTCGAAGAAAGGGGTGCGGGGGTCGCCACGAGAGGCACCTACAGCTACAATACTCTTCTCAGCTGCAAGTAGTTCCTTCTCTAGGGCGGTAATGGTGAGCTCAGTGGGGCAGCGAGCTAGGAAGTGGTCCCTGACTGTACGCAGAGTGTCAGGGAGGCGGGTGACTAGGTGGTAGAGAGTGAGCCAGAGCGGGGGAGGGTTGGAGGCAAGAAACTCAGCGGGCATGGCTGCACGGAAGCGGGCATCACTAGTGCGGAGGTGAGTGATGAGGTCAGCGACTGTCTGGAAGGTGGACAGGTCGGGGAACAGGTAGGGAAGCGAGAGGCGGCCTAGTGCAGCTGAGGCCGGGGAGGAGTAGCGCGCAACTACAGCAGTGTACAGGGCGTGCGCAGTCTAATGCTGGCCAAAGTGCTCGCGCTCGTCTACTGGCAGGGAGTTGCGAATAGCAAAGCGGGCGTGGGCATCGCGAGTCTGCCACTGTGAGCGAGCAGTAGCAACAGCAGTAGTAGCAGGAGTAGGGACTGTGCCTAGTGCGTGATCGTACAGCGAGATATCCTCTCTGGCAGTGAGCTGGAGGAACAGATGCAGATCATCGAGCCAGGTCTCAAACTTAATCGGGCGGCCCTCAGTATCGAACGAGAGAACTGGAGGGCTAGCCATAGCTGAAGTAGCAGTAGCAGAAGTAGCAGTAGCAGTAGCAGCAGCAGCAGCAGTAGCAGCAGCAGTAGCAGTAGCAGTAGCAGTGGCAGTAGTAGTAGCAGTTCAGTACTGGTGCTGCTGCTCAGGTAAGGAGGGCGCGGCTCGGCTAGGACGGCGCGGCTCGGCTAGGGCGGCGCGGCTCGGCTAGGGCGGCGCGGTTCGGGTCGGGTCGCGCAGCGCGGCTCGGCCGTAGAGGGGCGAGCGTAGGAGGGGCCGTGAGAGGCAAGCGCGGGGGGGGCGTTCGGGGGCCGGTCGGGGCTAGCGCGAGGCCATTCGGGGCTGTAGGAGGCTAGCGCGGGGCCTTAAGGGGCCGTGGGAGGCTAGCGCGGGGCCTCAAGGGGGCCGTGGGAGGCTAGCGCGGGGCCTGAAGGGGCCGTGGGAGGCTAGCGCGGGGCCTTACGGGGCCGTGGGAGGTTAGCGCGGGGGCCACACGGGGCCATTCGAGGCTAGCGCGGGGCCACGCGGGGCCGTTCGAGGCTAGCGCGGGGCCAATCGGGGCCGTAGGAGGCTAGCGCGGGGCCGTAGGTGGGCCGTTCGGGGCTAGCGCGGGGCCGTAGGGGGCCGTGAGAGGCTAGCGCGGGGCCGACGCGGGGCCTTAAGGGGCTAGCGCGGGGTCTTAAGACTGGGCCGTGAGAGGCCGTAAGGGGCGACGCGAGGGGCCGTGAGGGGCCTGAAGGGGCGACGCTAGGAACGAGGCGCACGAGGGCGCTAGGAATAAGGCGGCGCACGAGGGCGCGGCTAGCGGAAACGGTGGGCCCTAACGTTCCGGTCCTAGGTGGAACCTAGGCTCGTAATACCATGTCAGAATGAGAAACAGGAATGGTTGTGACTAGCAGGAACAACAGTACAAATATGAAACCCTAATCTGGTGTACCCCCTAAGGTGTGACCCACTACAGCCTAGAATCACATAAACATATAATGTTTGACATTATAAGCGCATCCGCTTATATAATGGCAAATGCATAATTATGATTTAAAGCACCAAATTGTGCATCCTAGTGCAGTTGCATTTTTAATCAAATCGAAATGGGCATCAGAATCGCGCGAGGGCGATTTTCTGCCGGCGCACAGGGGCAAGGACACGTCAAGCTTGCCCCGGCCCAGTGTATGAGCCAATCACAGTCGCTCGCTCAGTGCACAGCACCCACGGCTGCGCTGTCAGTCAGCTTCGCCCCAGGCCAGCATATGAGCCACTCGCGTGCAGTCGCTCGCTCGCAGCGCACAGGCTCGGTCCCTTTTTCCCCCCCCCCCCCCCCTTCGCCCCGAAAGGGCTGTCAGTCAACGGCTTCGCAAGGTTCCGCCTTTCGTGATCGAATCGCCCGTGCTCAAGAGAGTCAACCGAAGTATGGTAGAAATGGATGTGGGTGGACTCGCTGCAAAATAGGGAATTGTTACCGTTTTAATCATGATTTAAAATAAAAATTGTACATGCGCTTATAATAAATCAAGGTTTTACAGGGGGTGCGCTTATAATTGAGGATCGGCCATAAGCGCATTGCTCCAGATACAAGCGCATGCGCCTTTAATAGGCCTGCGCTTCTATCCGGGGCCATACGGTAAGGGCGGGTTGAACTGCCAGCAATTATGGCAGATCCAGAGATTTCCATTCCAAACCCAGGGCCGTACATTTCTAGCTTGGTGATAAGCAGCCCGCGAAAACATACGGTACTGCATTTTTTTAGAAACATACGGTCATGCAAATTGAGAATATCGTAACAAACATGCATACTCAGCTAGTAATGTACTAAGACATTCACTATTTTTGGTTTAGTAATGTACCAAGTGTGATTTGCAGATGAAGTGTCATGCCATGTCGCTAGCCAAGGCAGTCGAGATTGCCAGTCAGCAACACCTTATCGATAAAATGTTGTCATCATGGATAAGGTCTATTTCTTCATCCAGGGTTTTGAGTGCCGTATACGCACTCTTCCTTTCTTCATTCTCCTCATCCACTTTCACCGCCGCACTCACCTCCTCCTTCCCCCCCACTTCGTTCTTAATCACCAGCAACTCATTTGCAACGTCCCCCATGGTTGGACGGCTTGCAGTGCGATCCACCGTGCAGGTGAGTGCGAGCTGGGTCAGGCGCAGCAGCACCTCCTCTGAGACTTCCACAGTGGGGTTCTTCAGGCAAGCCAGGTTGGAGCCCTTCAGGCACTCTTCCACCTGGAAGTGCAGCAGGTTGGAACGGGACCGGGAGGCGAGCGGTTGGGAGAGAAAAACACGAGGCAAATCAGATGCACAAGTGAGGGGGTTGGTAAGTAACCAATCCTCAAGTAAGGCAGGAACATCTGATGTTATTGAAATGCTAAGCTAGAAGCTCAAGTTAAATAATCTAGGTAGATGTTCAAACTTGGTAACTATTCAAGGTAGGAAGCAGAGGCCGGTGCAGCATGCGAATGAACCTTGGCACTTGGTGCAGGGTTCCTTTTGAGTCGACTCAAAAGTCACATTGACTGGACCTTGGCACGAGGTGTGGGGTTGCTGTTGTTGTGGTGGTGGTGGTGGTGGTGGTGGTGGTGGTGGTGGTGGTGGTGGTGGTGGTGGTGGTGGTGGTGGTGGTGGTGGTGGTGGTGGTGGTGGTGGTGGTGGTGGTGGTGGTGGTGGTGGTGGTGGTGGTGGTGGTGGTGGTGGTGGTGGTGGTGGTGGTGGTGGTGGTGGTGGTGGTGGTGGTGGTGGTGGTGGTGGTGGTGGTGGTGGTGGTGGTGGTGGTGGTGGTGGTGGTGGTGGTGGTGGTGATGGTGGTGGTGGTGGTGGTGGTGGTGGTGGTGGTGGTGGTGGTGGTGGTGGTGGTGGTGGTGGTGGTGGTGGTGGTGGTGGTGGTGGTGGTGGTGGTGGTGGTGGTGGTGGTGGTGGTGGTGGTGGTGGTGGTGGTGGTGGTGGTGGTGGTGGTGGTGGTGGTGGTGGTGGTGGTGGTGGTGGTGGTGGTGGTGGTGGTGGTGGTGGTGGTGGTGGTGGTGGTGGTGGTGGTGGTGGTGGTGGTGGTGGTGGTGGTGGTGGTGGTGGTGGTGGTGGTGGTGGTGGTGGCGGCCGCGGCGGCGGCAGCGGTGGCGGCGGCGGCGGCGGCTGTGGTGGTGGCGGTGGTGCTTACCCAATGTAGGATGTGCATCCTCTCCCTTCCAGGCTCAGCTATTGAAGAACGTCCCGTAAGCACCACGAGGATGAGCACTCCAAAGCTGAAGAGCATGGAGAGAGATAGGGAGAGAGAGAGAGAGAGAGAGAGAGAGAGAGAGAGAGAGAGAGAGAGAGAGAGAGAGAGAGAGAGAGAGAGATGTTGAGGCTACGATGCGAGGCTTGGTGTTGAGATGGTCATCATGCCATGGTTGAGACAAGGGGACAACATGACCGTAACGGATACACCAACCACCTTGATCTTATATGTATTCATTACAATCATAACATGAAAATGCTAACATGCAAATGCTTGGACTGAAGGGGCTAACAGCATTCCAAAACAAACTATCAGCACGAAATAACAAGCTGACCTATGCCAACTTACAAAAATCATCTAATTCTCCCGCAAGTACCTGTAAACATCAGTGGCCGTGGTTGCCTTATTTGTCCTCGTGTAAACAGGGTCCACATAGCCAGGTGTGCCCATCACTCGGGTAGAACCCACTGTCGTGCCCTCTCCCACCCTCACCAATCCAAAATCCGCAATCTTCGCCTGGGTAAGAGGAGTTCGTTACAACAAGGTTGAAAGATGACGAAGGTGTAACAAGTTGTTGAATTGGGTGGGAGTTGATTGATTGCGCACACAAATCACAGGATGATTCTACCCGAATTTCATGAAAAAAAATCAACATACCAAAGTGTTTAAAAATACTTGTGGTACCATAGGACAGGGACCTGAGCAGCTGACAGTTGCCTGTTTGCATTGACTAAAAGACGACTCAATACCCTCCGGTGAAAAGCTGTTCGGAGCTTGCATGGATGTCTGTACGCTGTAATGGATGTGGACCATTTGATGTGGACGGGTTTAATGCTTGGAGCTTGCCTGCATGTCGGCGCTGACGAGGATGTTGGCGGGTTTGATGTCGCGATGCACGAAGCCAAAGCTGTGGAGATACTCCAAGCCACGCGCCGCCCCAATGAGGATGCCCAGCCATTGTGGCAGAGTCAGTGAGAATGGTGACTCTGCAGGAGGAAGGGAGCAATAGGCAGGTAGGAGTGAGCATTCGTCACGTGGCATTAGGCACATGGCATTACACACACGGTTATGGAATGTGCAACACACGCACGAGGGGCATCAAAAATAGACTCACTTGTTGGATCCAGCCACTTCTCGAGGTCGCCGTTGGGTACAAACTCGTAGATGAGAACCTGCTCTGGCCGTGTCCTCATGTCGCCTCCCACAGCAAACCCAAGCAGCCGCACGATGTTGGGATGGTTCTTGTCGGCCATTTGCTGGATCTGCGGGGCGTTGAGAAGAGCATACACCATAGAAGAATAATTGGTATAACGTACAAATGTTAAGAGATGAACAAGTATGCAGCACCACAAACGCTGATAAGGGTTCGAGAAGCAGAATTTCTGATTGAGATGAAACATAACCCAGCGGGTTGTGGTACAAATGTGGACATAGGAACTCACCGAGGCACTTGTTGTGTTACGTTTTATCTCAGTCAGGAATTCTCCGTTGTGAAAGTAGTTTTGTCACCAAGTCACTCACCTCCCATTGGAAGTCAGCATGTAACAGCTTGGCGCGTTTCACAGCCCACTCAGTGACACCATCGAGCGGAGATACCCCCTTGTACACATCGCCGAAGGCCCCTGATCCCAGCTGGTTGTCCTGAGACCAGTTGTTGGTGGCCGCTTCAACCTCAGCGAGAGAAAACTCCGGGCTGTGCAAGGCTGCCCAACTGCCAGCTATTGCTGCTAGTGGGATGTCTGGTGTGGGTGAGTCGTGAGGGTGAGCGGGGGGAAGTGAGGGTGAGAGGTGAGAGGTGAGGGGGTGAGCGGTGAGGGGTCAATAGACAATAGGCACACAGAAGATGCGATGAAAGCTCGCACGGCACTTGTCACCTTGGTTACCAGCGAACAAAAGCCGGTTACGAAAAGCATCATCTTCCTTGCCATCTGTTGATTAATGGACCGACTCAAAATCTTTACATCCTTTGGCTAAGTACCTACCACAGCACCCCCACCTGTTGCCTTCTGCTGCCGCTTGTGCCTGAGGTAACGCAACACAGCAGCCAGCAGCAGCAGAACCACCACCACCACAGCAGCAACAACAATGCCAATGATGCCCCCGAGTGATAATCCACTGCCCCCTCCAGAAGTTGCTGAGTCGGACTGGCTGATGCTGATGCTGCTGCTGCTGTTGATGTTGCTACTGTTGGGGCTCGGTGCTGGTGGTGCCGCTGGGGTGGGGTATGGGGTGGCATTTGGTTGCGAGCACTCCAGAGAAACAAGCTTAGAAACTTCAAATGAGGTCAGGCTATCGGGAAAGGTTTGGGACGACAGTTGCAGCAAGCTCAAGAATGTCATGTCATTACTGAACTCAGGCAACTAAAAAAAACTCGGAATGGAAGAAGAAAGTGCGCCAATACTCCATCTGCTACTTCGTTTGGCATCTCCACAACTTTGCTACGTGAAACAGAGGTAGGCATGAGCAAACAGATGAACCCTTGTTTTGACCTGACCTGAACTGTTCAAGTTTGTTTCTTCTTCGTCTCCTTTTTTCATCGCGTTATATAATCAACTTGAACAGTTGAATGTTTGAGTCAAACATGTCTGGTTCAAACAGAACGTGTTTGACTTAACAAAATGTTCAAGCTGAACACATAGGTGTTCACCGCAATCCCGCGTAACTCAGGTTACGCGAGTCAGGGTTTTTTGGTCAAGTTGGAGAGCTTGCTTTTAAACTCAGGGTCTTTCCTAGCCTAACATCCCCACCCCCTGGCATGTGGGACCATTTCCACGGTATTAGTCTTGTAAACATGATGACATATTACCTCTGGAAAACGCTAGAGCCGCCCTACCTCCAAGCATCTTAGCAGATGTCGGGTCCAGTTTTTCACAGTGAAACATAATCCCTCCCATAGGCAAACTACTCTCAGATTTCCAACTGTAGGTTAAAGGTAGAACAACAACATTCTGGCATTGGATTTGGAGTAAGCTTTCCTGAAAATCATTCAGCAAACTGAGAGAGGCTTGCATCAATCTCTGGAGTTGCTATGCATACTTGGAGTTGCTCTGGAGAGAAAGAGCCACTCTCATCCACCAGCTGTGCACAACTTGCTTTGCTGCTGTGTGCCTTTTCTTCTTGATGCAATAAAGCACTTTCTGCTGGACAGTGGTGCACTGCGCTGCACTCACCTGTTGACTCCAGGCAGGTGGTGCAGAAGGAAGGGCACTTGCGACAGAAGGCTGTCTCGGCAATCTGCTGCTGGACACAGCTGGTGTAGTCGGCCGGACATGTGAGGCCGGTGCCCCAGGTGGTGCTGTCATGGAGAGGGTTGCAAAAAAAAACAGCAAATATTAATTTTGGGTCGACTCAATCCTCAAGGGCTTCAGCACTCTGCTTTTGCACACAGCTGGTGTAGTTGGCCGGACATGTGAGGCTGGTGCCCCAGGTGGTGCTGCCATGAAAGGGGATGCGTAAGTGGCGCAAGAGGTGATTCTACAGGGAGGTAACGAAAATGAGAGGGATTTTTAATCAGAAACATATTCGCTGTGTTTGTCGATGCTGACGATGGCAAGGATCTGAGAAACATATTCGACCGCAATCGCATGGTCACTTTCGTGTGCTAGGTAAGTGAATACATTAGAGGCTGCCAGAGTGAGAAAATTGTTACTAGACAGGATGCCAATCGTTCTACAGCTGGGCTAGATTTTGTCTACATTTCCGTCTGAACTCCGTCCTTCAAATGTTTCCTGACATGCTTTCTTCTACCACGCATACTTTCACACATGTTTCCCCACTCATGCCAAAAGGCAATTATTGCCACAGTCCTTGAGACGTCTTAAAACGTGTTTCTCTGCAACTCCGAAGATGAGCAGAAAAGCTGACCAATCACGTGTTTCTCTATCTTTCAGCTCTGTCTCTCACACCAAGCCGCACGTCCCAAATGCACTGCAGCTGAGTTTGTATGCAGCGAATCCACTGTCAGCCTTATTTCAAGACCGAGGTTGTCTTGTCTTGCAGCATATTCCATTCCAAGCATTGGTCCACAGGCACACTTCCACACTTCAAGCACACAGTCCAAGCACAAGTACTTCCAGCTAACAAGCACTAGAATCTTACAATGTCTGCAGATCAAAAAGGTTTCCAACGGATGGTGGGATGGACCCCGAGAAATCGTTGTTGAAGAGGTTCCTGAATTTACACCAGCAAGCACAACACCAGGAGCAGTGACTCTGGACACGAACAATATGAGAGTAAAATCCTTATGCTGGTAGTGTTCTAAAGATGCGCGCGCATGATGCAAAGTCTGGATGGAATAGAATAGACTCTCTTAACGAATCTGACCCCACCAAGTGCAGTTGCAGGTCCCAAGCGCACAACAAAACAAAACCCGAAACGCCATGTTAGCATAGCAGCTTACAACTCTTGCAGGTATAGAAGGCTGTCGCCGATGGATGCTGGAATGGGCCCTGAGAGATTGTTGTCATGGAGATGCCTGAAGCCATGTAGGCATAAGCAACACCAGAGGTGCAGAAGGAATCAAGAATCCAACACTTTTCTACCACCATTGGGTTGGAAGCGCCACGTTATTGGTTCTTGATAATGCCCACACTATTGGGAGGCCAATATGTTGGATGGACCAGATGTTTAATCTCTCAACAATCAATAATCTCCAATTGGAACATGAATTATCCAATCTACCGTGTAGACGAGCATTTTATGAGGCGAGTCATTATAGACCGGTAGGTTTGCTTCGCTAGGTCATTATAGACTGGTACCTATTCTTTAAAACTCTTATGGAGGCAAAAAATATTCGGCCTTGTCAAAAACACCTTAACCACCGCTTCCACACCCAACATACACGCGCAAGCATGCACGCATGTGCACACGCAAGTACACACACACAGAGACACATACTCGTGTTCGGTTCTACCTGAATCGAATTGGATGGGTCAGAAGTTTGAGTTTGACCCTGGTACTCAATATTTTTTTGATTCGAATCAAACTCACAGGTTCGACCCAAACACGTTCGAGTTCGGTTCAACCTCTGAAGGTAAATTTAGTCATTTTAGCTTTGCCATGACATACGGAAGTGTAACTGCGCTCAGGGGCTGCTGAATGTGAGAGAATAGGAGTGCTCAGTCAATTTTGTTAGCGCAATTTGTTGGGTTGAGTAGATGATAAGGGGTGAGGTGCGGTTGAAGGGAGTTGGTGGGGTTGTTGCGAATTTTGTCGGTAAATTTGTCGAATTGAAATGCATCGCGACGGTTCGCCTCCAATCAGCGAAACGCGAATTAAAGCGAGTTTGCCTGATTTCGGCGCACAATTTTGGGAGTCATCAAATCGACCCTCAGAGACCCTTCTCCGCGTCGAACCCTTTTACGAGAACCCAATCCTTTGCCTCATTCTTGATATTCAGAGCCAGAATCACCTTTTACGAGAACCGCGCTATTGATTGGCGTTCATTTGACTGTCCAAGCATTACCCGACCCGAATGTGTGGAAACAGATGAAAATGTCACGGGGAATCGTCTAGCATGTGTGCAAACTGTATCTTTACCCTATCGTATAAAACACAACTGTGCTCTCAATTATCTAGTCTAAAGTTGAACCCACGAAAACCAAGTCAAGAAGTTATGCGTCGAACCTTAGATGAGAACCAGAATCGCATCGTGGTGACCAAAAATTGACCATACCTCAACTCCCTTCAGTCCAACCAACTGAACGGTTCGACCCGGACTTCAAACCGTTCGAATCCAACTGTTTTTTGTTTTTTTTTTTAATGGACGGTGATGCCCCTATACTGACAGTTTTAACAAGCGGCGCAGGTCGCCAATGGTGGATGGAATTGACCCGCTTAGTGAATTCATGCTCAAGTTCCTGACAATCCGAGATGGGGGGGGGGCACATAGAGGATAGATGGAATAAGGTGGGAGAAGCAGAGAAACGGAAGGGTGGAACGAAGATGCAGCATGTTGACTTGACGTGTGTGTGGTCGCCTCATTCTTGAGTCAAAGGTGATGAGGCACCCTTGATGGTCCCCCCAGTGTGGACCAAGGTGCAAAACAAGATCGATATATATTTTTTTTTTCCGAACAAGAACCGTAAACAATGGCACGGCTGGAAGAAGAAGTAGGGGAAAAAAAAAAAAAAAAAACGACATTAAAATAACAAGGGGTATGGGATAGGAGAAAATCATCATTGTTTCTAGTCAAGAATCCAAGCAGGGAAACTTTGCATAAGTAAACGAGGTGGTCGTTATACGTGTTGCTGATGCAGCAGGACATGCTGTGAAGCGCTTTTTTCAGCTCACA